AACATATGAGCTGACATATCCGAGTAATAATTCAGCTTACCACACTTCATATAAGTATATCAAGCGAGAAAGCACTAAGGGGAAAGATAAAGAAACGAAGGAGAAAGCAACCAAAAGTGTTAGAAAGTCACGAAAATAGAGCAAGAAGGAATGAAAAAACACTGAAATCCAGTAAAAAAAAAAATTAATATGAAGATAATGTGCGGATATATCTGCGCTACTGACATCGACCCTCAGCCATATCGCCCCGAGTCTCCAACCACTCCTCCCTGGTGTTATGTGGAGTCCAATCGGGAAGTCTACATTTCCCTAAACGGCTAGGATCAACAGTCACACACTTTATGAACCGATACCATATTTTAGTCTGGTCACTTCTAAACATTTTCCAGCCCGAACCTAATTCAGTCAACATTGCCCGATAAGGTACACGGTAACATGGCATGCGTAAAGTATGTCCCAACTATTTGAGTTCATTAACGTCCACAACCTTATAAAATGACTTACCTCTGCCTAAAACTCTGCATGACTTTACGCTACTGATGTGGTTGCACCAAGACAGCCTAAGCTACAAAGCCAACGGTTGTCAAACACTAAAAGCATACTCATGTCCGAAATCTTGAACCGCCATATTTCAAAGCCATATAGCAGAACAGAGCAAACCACACCTCAGTACACAGTCAGTTCCAATTAGAAGATCAGTCATTATGGTAGTGCCACAAATGGCTTAAGCTGGCAAGAATTAATCGATCCCTTTCCATCCATGAAGAAATTTAGTTGGTCAATGACCCATCGGGTCTGGTCTGATTTCTCAGTGAAGTGGTTAAAGCGTTTAACCGTGTCAACCATCTATTATTAGACAGGGCACCGACGTAGATCAGTCCTGGAGCAACAATTTGCATTCAGGTGGTGAGAAACGCAAACCAAACACTCAAATTGTCACGTACGATATCCACAAGACTCTGCATTTCGTCAGTATTTTCACTGAACAGAACTATCATCTGTGTGCTCTAAATCTAATAAGAATTCTCCTACAACAAATCAATCCCTTTAAATTCAGACAAAGAAAAGGAGGCCTTCATAAGTATACCTATGACAAAGTTGAATAATGCAGCGACAGAACAATCGACAGACAAATCCATTGATAATTCACCAACCTTCAACAAAGCGATGTACTTACTTAGCATCCATTTCAGTGTACGACAATAACATAAAACTGCTCGGTTAGTGGAATCGAATAACACTTTCAAGTTGAGATATACAGCTACTGACGCGCGCTGGTAAGTATGCCGGGGTTCTAGACCTCAAACAATATCTCTCCTTATACCTGAAGATCATGCGGGCCAGAATGAAAAACGGTTGTCTGAGCACAGTTGCGGTAGGCGATCGCCATCATCTGTTGGTTCGGCTGAGATTGAGAGTACCAACTAAATGCCTTTCTGCTTCACTCAACCTTCACGGACGGACTAACTCCCGAGGTATAAAACGATGGCGGTAGAGTGCTCTTAGTCAGGTTAACGGAAGTGTTAACTAGTATACGGGAATCAAATACGATCCCCTACGACAAGTCTAAATCACTGTTTATTCTAGTCTTCAAGAAAGATGAGAATTCATTTAGTGATAACCATAGAAGAATCAGCCTGACGAACATAATATCTAAAATGCTAGGTTCTGTAATTCTTCGACGCCTGAGTGGAGCACGGGAACAGTAAACCCGGGAAAACCAGGCAAGCTTTAGACGCGACCACAGGTCTATTGACCGAATATTTACACTGCGCCAGGTTCTGGAACACAGGCACCCTTACCGATACCCGACAATAGTTGTATTTCTCAACCTGAAGGCGGCATTCGACTCCGTTGATCGAGAAGTCTTACGGCAATCTCTTTCGCTTAAAGACGCGCCGAGTAAGTACATCAAATTATTGAAGGCTCTCTACTCAAACACTTATGGGCGTGTTAGAGTCTATGGTGAAATGTCCAGGGAGCCGTACTCGTCGAGCGGTGTCCATCAAGGCTGCCCACTCCCTCTATTCCTATTCAATTTCATCATACATATTCTTATGGAGGTCTCCCTCTCGTCATCTGACTACACAGAGGTTGGCCTAATCACAGGAGAATTTCCGATAGACCTAGAATGTGCAGATGACATAGTCCTGTTAAGTGAAGACGCTGACAACATGCGGAGTCTTCTGAACACTTTGGGTGGCTATTTAAGAATGTTTGGGATACGTTTCTCATCACCCAAATGCAAATTATTGCTCCAAAATTGGTCTTCAACGGTGCCACGGCTAAAAACAGAGAGTGTAGTGATTGTGTGTCGACCACTTCACTTACCTGGGAAGTAGGATCGGCCCTGCCCTGGTAGCTCAGTTTTCCATGAAATCTCTCCACGAGTACAAAAGGCTTGGTTAGCTTTTGCCAACTTACGCCACCTGTGGCACCGCCGTGACACCAGACTGTCTATTAAGGGTCGTGTGGTTTGCACAGCAGTTCGCTCTGTTCTACTGTATGGCTCAGAAACATGGCCACTGAAGGTGGAAGACATGAAAAGGCTTCAGGTGTTTGACCACCGCTGCTTTCGCATTATAGGCATGGTTGTGAACCTTCATCGACTGAGATGGTAGGGACATGTGTTACATATGCCTAGTTGGCGTCTGCCTTGTCACACAATGTTGGCCGAAGTAGGTCCAGGCTGTGAAAAGGCTCGAGGTGGCCAGACCGAAATATGGCATCAACGTATTAAGTCTTTGACTGTTGGTTTGAGCCATGTGGGGTGATGCAGACTAGGTGGTTGGGGTCCACGGGACAAGAAGAACCAGTGGTTGGAGACTAGGCAATATGGGTCAGAATCTAAGTCAGTCGTGCAGATCTATACACATATTATCCTCATCTTAGCACTATACCTATTCTCACCATTTTCTCATTCTCCCTTTCTCTCTTTTAGTACCCTATATTTCTTTTGACTGCATTCTCTTATCTTCATCTTTCACTTCACTGCCTTTTTACTTGATGTACTGATGTGAGCTGTAACAACTCGGACCGTTACGCAGTAATGCCTGGTCCTGTATTGACTTGGATGGATGATGGAGACTGTCCACTTGTGCATGGAAATTATGTGCTTAGGAAGCCGCATCGCAACGTTTAGTTTTCAGTAAGCGGACAGAAAGTTTGCCTAAGAACTCATCCTTCACCTCACCCGAACTGCAGTCAGTGGGTGCGCAAGCAGAAGTTACAAAGAAACAACAGTGAGTTTTACCACTCGTTTAGTGCTCACTAAACCACTCAGTCGAACGGTGCACAGGTGACTGTTAATAGTGATACAGTTCAGCAGTGTGCTTTTCGCCTTACGAGTCAGCTCTGTAAATAAACTCGCAAGATCGCAAAACTTGACCATCGAATCTTCAGAAAATCGACGAGTGCATCTTGTGAATTCATCATATTGGTCGAGTGAAGTTAAGCGAATTACAATTGGGTCCTTGGTGCATCTCATAAACACAACGTACATCTATGGCCTTAGTTTTGGCTAGTGAAGCTTGTTGGCCGATTTGTCAAAGTGCTCATCTTGAAATGTCTAAAATGAACTTTGGAGGATTCCAGGAGATCAGGGATGCTGTTTCATGGAATCACATCACTGTTAAGAGCTCAGGAAATAACAGCAGAACCATGAACAAGGTCCGTATATGTTAAATCACGACTCATGTAAAAGGGAGCTGAAGGCGCTATCTGGATGCTTAATATTAATTAGGTGAACATCCCTCGTCTGTAATCCCTTGGTTGAAAGTTAACTGCTTCATTAATGGAATCAATCAGACAGATGAAAAATGTACTATATCAGTGCTCGTAATATTGCTACCACCACCACTACTTGAAAGCGGTTCGATTCGAGTCGGAATGTTCACTAAAGTGGAAGAAACACGTGGGCTCATTTGAATTTATGAAAGCAAACAAAGTAGAACTTTCAAAAATTATTCGCAAATCAAAATGGTTACTCTTCATATCATTGGAGTAAAATCAAAAAAGAAAAATGAGCAGTTTTTAGCTATTATAGAACAGTTGGAAGACAGGTTCAGCAGAAAATGAGATGCGTAAGACGTTCACGACCTAGAGGTATTTGAGGGGCTACAGATGTTTCAATGAGACCACTTTTGAGACACCACCTAGTTCGCAACCCTTAGCAGTCTCGGTTGTCTCCAAGTCAGTCACGAAATCGACAGCTGGTTTCTCAGTCCCAAACAGGCTCCAAAGTCAGCTGAGGCATTTTCCACTATAATCTCGCTCATGTTAGTACATCAAACTATCTTCAACGGTGAGTTGGAGCGTGCAACATCTTAACTACCGTAACTGACAAAGACCCACAACCTGAATGACTCACCTTCCTCCTGAACTGAACATTGACATTACTGGGTTTATCCTCATAATCTAGTGGCATATTAAAGACAATTAGGCATAATTAGCTGGATTCAGCACGTATCTCAACATCGTATGCACAATCTGTTAATATATAATAAGTACTCTGTTCACTGAATTCTTAACTAGAAGCGTATCCACGTGATACACAAAACATACCAATGCTCTACAGGAAGTAAGCGGTTCCCTGCAAGTCCTTATATAAAAGTGGTTATGACTTTAAAAATAAGATATTCAGGAAGCACTGAATCTTAATACGCAGTTTCATCAGGTCTGAAGTTAAGCTGCTTCAAGCAAGATTTGGAAGTCATGGTTCCACATTAATTAGAGACCATAGACTGACCCTTTTGGTCTCCATATTCACGAAATTGCTTCAAGTACCTTTTCCAAGACGAACAAATCTAGACAGCAGAGCAAAAAAATAATGAACTAAGTATAAATGTTGAGTAGTCAGCAAACGCAAAAGACAGCAGGAACAACCTTAACTTTGTGGGAGTACCATGCTTTCCTCCTACTATTTCAGTGAATATGAAATAAGTCGGCAGCAAAAAGTACGAAGTAGAGGTATATGATCAAATGAAAACGTTATGACGCACCTACGAGTCTCAATAGCGATTCCCAAAGCTTGCCTGTACTGCTTATGTTCAAAACAACGATCAAACATTTTGTTGACGACATGTTCTAGTCTCTTGTAAGTTGGGCTATTGACTGACCAAGAGCGGTCTCCGGATGCTTGCCGAGTTAAAACAGAACCTGATGAGTTGTCAACTTGATCTTGAGCAACGCGTAGGCTTGTGTACTTATCAATACATTTAGCTAAATGTCGTTAGGAAATAATGGGTGTAGATTACCGATAATAGTTTCCACAAATTCCGAATTCGCACTTATATCGAAAAGTTCTTCAGCACACAACGCGAAGTGGAGTGCATCGTCGTACTCAGCTAGATGGTAGTATACCTTTGAAGCAAGAAGAGCAGCAAGTTTATTATACTCAAAGTTGGTATCTTCATGAAGTATTTCAATTTTGATTACAGCTTCCGAAATCTCAGCCCAAAACTCATCAACTATATCATCCAGACGACGAAGAGCGAATGCCTGAAGTGAAATTTAGCTACATGATGACACTTATGCTACCTTAACATCAGCACCCTTATCGTCCAAAAGTGAAACAAGTCCGGCAGCAGAAGTCAGAGCCATTGCAAACCGTGACTAATCAAAGTAACGCTAACTTTGAAAGCAGCGCGTAATCACAGTACTTCTTCAGCATCCAATATCCAATATCTTTTTACGAGCTAGTGTAAACCAATTTATTTCTTCGCACTCGCAGGGTTACCACTGAGAGCGCTATGGTGGCCGTTCTGTAGAATTCAGCTGTTCGGATGACTTGGGTTACTGAGTATTTTGTAAGCCGTTATCAAGTCACATGGAATCTACGGTAGCTTAGGGAGTAAAGCCCTGTCCTGATATGGTTTTCGCCTCATTCCCCGACACCCTCTGTAGCTCGCCTTTGGACTTTGGAGGTTGACGTCTCTCTTCAGATATGGTGGTGCAATGACGTGTACCTCTAGGTGGGGTCGTACATAGGTCTTATACAGCTTCAAAAGAGTTCTCGGGTCAGGGCTGTCTGCGCATGCAGTGCGGTACTGCGTAGGCTCTGGAGGCATCTCCTGGACAATTAGAGCTGATTTCTAGTTTGTCAGTCAGTGTTTGTTCTGTATATATTATTATTAGTCCTCTGGGTTCCTAATGGAACATAGAGCGTCAGTAGCACATCTCCAACGAGCCCTGTTCTCTGAAATCTTTTGAACCTGGCTCCACTACAGCCCACAAGTTCTCATTTCCTCCTCACACGGTCCCCTCAATGTCATCCTTGCCTCAGACGCCCAGCTAGTCGCTTCCCATCGGGTTCCACTCGAGCAACTGGCGTGACACGTGATGTCCCCAGTCGGCCTCCTCAGTGTATGCCCAATCCATCTCCACTTCCTTCAGCATAACTGTTGAGCGATAGCTTCTTCGGTTCTCTGCCAGAGTTCCTTGTTGCTTATTCACATTACTCTGGCCATCTGATCTTCAGTAACGAACCAGCGTAGGCTGCAGCTGTTGATGAACGTCTGTAGTTTGTTGGAAATGCCTTTCGTAACGCGCCGTTAAGTCTCTCAATCATCACATGGAAGCACTGACTTGACGAGTTGGTGTTGAAAATCCGCATCTTGTTCCCGCTCTGTGGTGAGTGTAGAAGGTCTCCACACTGGTTTCAGGCTAATGAACGTCTGTCTTGCTTTTCTGATGCTGGCTTTGATGTCCTCGTATGTGACTGTGCCACCTGAAGTTTAAACGACGCTGTCTAGATGGGTGTAAGAGGCCACTCTCTTTGAGTTTCTCCCGTTCATGGTGATTGGGGCTTGTTATTGTTGCTGTTGTTGTTGGTGCGGTATCTTCATCGCCCCTGTCTTCTCTATATTCACTTGAAGTCCTGTCTTCGCTGCCCTGCCTCTTCTGTCAACTCGTTAGTTTTCGCCTGTAGATCTTCAAGTTTGTGTGACATCAGACACAAGTCATCGGCGAAACCCAAATCTTCTAGGTTCTTTTCCGCGGCCCAGCGTATCCCCCTCTTCTCGTTCCTCACAGTTTGCTGCATGATCCAATCCAGTTGACTACAATCAGGAAGATCATGGGTGATAGTAGGACAGTCTTGTTTCACTCCTATCTTCATTCCACTTCAAAAGCATCACTGAGCTTTCCGTTGTGGATCACTTGGCATGTGTCGTCTTCATATAGTTGTTGAATGAGGTTGATAAAGGTTTGTGATACTCCGTAGTGTTGAGGCAGTTTCCAAATTACCTCTCGGTCGACGCTGTCAAAGGCCTTCTCAAAGTCGATGAAGTTGAGGTAGAGAGCTGATTGCCATTCTATACTCTGTTCTATGATGATGCGTAGAATAGCGTTGCAATTTGGTCCGCACACGATTTGTACTTCCTGAATCCAGCCAGCCTGTTCTAGTCGTAGTTTTGAATCCAGTGCATCTTTTAGTCTATCCAGGATGATGTGGCTCGACAGTTTGCTTGTTCCGGGCGGATGGAGAGTGATTCCGCGCCAGTTCTTGCAAAGACCTGGGTCTCCCTTCTTCGGGAGTTTGGCAAGGCAGCCTTTCTTACAATCGCCAGGTGCCTTCCCTTTCTGCCAGACCCTCTGCACTAGTGGTATCACCATGTCGGCTGTTGTCTCTGCGTCTGCTCTCAGGGATCCTCGCGGGATCCCATCTGGTCATGCTACACTCCCACATTTCAGCAGCTTTATGGCAGTCAGGACTTCCATTTTCGTTGGAGGATTTATGTTCACTGGTGGTTCTGCGGCTGGGCTGTAGGTGGTATTTCTGGACGAAGTGCAGGTGCTGGCCAATTCAAGAGCTTTTCAAAGTCGTTGGCCAGCCCATTGTTTCCTTTGTTTCTCTTCTTCTGTGACTAAATTTCCTTCTTCATCTTTTATTGGTTTCGTGTTCGTTGATCTCTTCCCTGCCAGATAGCAACCTGGTTATTTGATACAATGTTGTCAGGTCTCTCTTACCTGCAGCCTGTTCTGCTTCACTTGACAGTGTCTCGTAGAAGTGTCTTCTGTCTTTCCACCCACTCTTCTTCACTTCTTTGTCCAGTGTACTGTTTTATACATTGTACTCAGTTACTCTTGTCGTTGATCATCCCTGCACTGGTTTATCTTCTGCTTCACCATCCTCCTCTCCCTGCTCTATCAGCTTCCATGTATCCATCGAGATCCACTCCATTCCTTATCTTCTTTCTTCTTCCTTCCTAATACGGTTGTGCAGGTTTCTTTCCACATAGCTTTCAAAGACTTCCAGTGTTCTTCCACACAGGTCTCTTCACGGATGTTCCTCTATATCTCCCACTTTGTCTTGATGGCTGACTGAAGTGAAGATTTCCTTTGTAGTTTCATCCTTCAGTTTCTGTTCTGTGTGTTGTACTTGAACTGCGGTCTATCACCAGCTTCCTTGAAGGCTTTCAACTTAATTTGGAAGGTTTCTTACACTAGACAGTAAGTGGTCTGAACCTACATCTGCTCCTCTTCCTCACCTTGTGTCAAGTAGGCTGACTGCGTCTCCATTTTCTTGAGATTGAGATAAAGTCGATTTGATTTTTAGTGTGTCCTGGCGTCTGGTGAAATCCATGTCACTCGCTTTGTGGACACCCTTGTGCTTGAACACACTGCCTCACTGCAATCACCAAATCGTTGAATGCACAGAATTCTGCAAACAATTCTCCATTCTCGTTCATCACCTCACCGAGCGCTTCTCGACCCATGGTTATTTAGTTCTCTTCCTGTGTTGTCTGCTCCCAGTTTCGCATTCATGTCGCCCATCAGAATGCATTTCGATATCGCCAACTGAGGTCTTGTCCAGTGTTGATTGAAGTTGTCTGTAGGATTCCTCCTCCTTCTTTTGCTCTGCATTATTTGTAGGTGCACAGCGTAGCTTTGTATGACTGTGACCTTCCTTTTGAGTTGAACCTTGCTGTCATGATCATGATGGTGAGGGAGACTGGTTCCCTTTGCATGAGAGTGAGCCTTCGATGCTCTTGGGGACATCATGATAGCCACTCCACAACCCAGTGCGCTCGTGGTTGCCGTCTGGGTGACCGGAGTAGATTATTGATTCTGCAGTTGACAGTCTGAAGAATCCACTCCCATTCCATCTGCTTTCGCAAATTCCAAGCACTTCAATGCTGTACCTTCTCATCTCGTTTGCAATCTGGGCTGGCCTGCTGGGTTCAAACATGGTGCGGACATTCCATGTCCCCATGTTTACTTTCGCTTTCATCGAGAGGAGAGAAGACACATCGGCCAGTTGGCTTCCTGAAGCAGGCTTTCACTAACTGGCGTCATTTCGCCTCTCCGATTCCAGCGAGGAATGAGTTTGTTTTTGTTTTTTATATTTTGTTTGTGCTTTGAAGTTTCTTCAGCGGTTGGACTTGTTTAACGGACTAGGGTCGCTAGCCCTACGCCGAACCCTCCCTCTTTACCCGGGCTTGGGACAGGCTAGCAACTAGTGAACTAGTTAAGCAGACGAGGTTATTGGCCCTGTGTACTATACGATGATAGCCTTTTGTAGTTTGATTTATAGCGCAAATTCAAATCAACTGCAACACAAACTGCTCAACTCACTCCATAAAATGTCGGTGAATCGCTGCTGAAAACCGAAAAATTTGTAGATTAAGGGCCTCAAACTTCAAACTTCGTGTTGTAAAATTAGAGGAATACGGTTCTACGGGTTCCACGTCTAACCTATTGAAGTATGTTCTACGTTTGACAGGTTCACAGCTGTCTTCCTGGATTCTGAAAACCTGAACGTATGGAGATAGTCATATATTGATTAATCTGGCCTCAAGGCAGTATTACTCCTCCTGATCTGCTGATGGCGGAGGGCTTCTTGGATACAGTCCATTGGTGCCACAACTCTCTTGGTGTGCACCTGACCCTCACTTAAAAGTATCAGGGTATGTGGCCGTAACAGCTGCTGACGGAACAGAGTTCCACACATTACAAACTCTAACCGTGGTGACCACGGGCCTTTGGACATGCTGTCATGCCGTATTCTTAACGGGTGACCCCTCAGGTGGCGTTTCAGAACAAAGCTTAGGATGTAGCTGAAATTATTTCGTCAACATAAGCAAATTATTCCGAAGCTCTTCCGAATGTTAAGACTTCTTATCTTTCGATCACGATAGAGTTTCGCTAAAGTGGTATTGAAATACACGTTTTATCACCACAGATTTCGGAAGCGTAAAGGAAATTCTACGTAATACTCAAGCTTACACACTCCTCCCAAGTGTCCTTGTGTTTTCAAAGATTGCGGTGGAAATATTAACCTTTTTACCGCAAACAACATATTTTGACGGAGGTAGGTTAAAATTCAAGCGGTTTCAATGCTAACACAATGAAGAAATAAATATTAAATTCATGAAAATAAGTAACTTGCTAGTTTAGCAGACAACTCGAACTTCCTACGCAGTCATGAATATGTGCTCCCTGGATCTCGGAACATTTGAATAAACAAATAAATATCTTTATTCTCAAGTTATGAAGTTAACCCCTTTTTCTGTATATACTTTGACAAGCCAACATAATTCCCAGCCTGTTTCCGTGCTATGTATACGCATATATCGATACCTTTTTTATTTGTCGGCATGATTTGGAAATGAATTTCATACAATTTTTCATACCGTCTTTT